GTAATAGTAAAGTAGTAGATGAAAAGGGATTCCACAGTTCTGATCTTGACCTCTGGTTCTCTTGAATTCTTCTCCTGACCACAATTCCAAGGATTCTGAATTCTCAATGTCTTAAGTAAAACTCTAACTCAGTGCAAGTAACACTGACCTTAGTCATAGGAACGGGGGTCTACAGCTGTCACTGTCACCTCCGCACATGGCATTGCTGTCTGCACCCAAGTGAGAACCACGGCAGTGTGACCCGAGGACTGCAGTTGTTGCTCCAGCTGCTCGCTGTTGGGGTTCTCCTAACCCCAAGACTTTCTATGCACCTGACAAACGGAGCTCTGCCTGCCTCCCACAGGGCAGATAGTAGGCATTGGGTGTACAGTTGGATGGGGGACGGAGAGTGGCATCCACTTGGCCTGTCACTGGACAAACTCTTGCGGAGGACTATGGGAAGTGACACTGTCCCCTGCAACTTATCCTGGGTAGCAGAAGTGTGGCATGCAGGTCACAGAGTTGTCTATAAGCCACTGAAGACTCTGACCTAGCCAAGAGTTATGAGGAAGATAAAACGTGCCTACTGAGGGGCAAACTGGGAGGGTTACAGTGAGGCCCATCTGAACCCAAATCTCAATAATTAGCAAGACCCACAGCGTAAAGATCCAGATGGAACGTGCTCCATGAAGAAATTATGATGCTGGAATTACACCTCTGCATACTTTGAGATGTTAAATTTGTCAGTTTCTGCTAGTCCAGTGATTCTCAACCTGTGGGTCGTGACCCCCTTTCGGTTGCATCTCAGATATCCTACATATCAGATATTCATGATTCATAACAGCAGCAAAATTAGTTATGAAGTAGCAATGGAATTGGCTGGGAGGGGGGGTCACCACAACATGAGGAACTGTATTAAAGGGTCGCAGCGTTAGGTAGGTTGAGAATCACCATGATAGGCCAATGTAAATCTCCACTAATTTTTAGAACTTACTCTGGAGGGGGTGCAGTGAGGAGGAAAGGGAAATGTGGAGCCAGGAGGGCTGGAAGGGCTTGCCTCACACGCTGTTCTCTTCTTTTGCTGTGCAGCTTTGTCCCGGGACCACAGAAAGCTATCCTCAAAGACCACGCACCAGAGGCAGCAAAGCTCTTTCAAGATAAAAAGCACCTTTCAAGCACATGGAGAGGGGGCAGAGATGCTATTTCAAGGCTTTCCAGAAACCCATTCCATACCTTTAAACACGGGAAAGTGATAAAAGCTGCATCCACACATGGCAAATGAAGCGATCCAACAATTTAGGGATTAGCCATGGTCTGACTCTGAACTTAGAACCAAATCCACTCCTGAACTCCAAGCTGCTTAGCCGGGTTGCACGCCAGCATCTGGATGGCTGCTCTGAAGGGCAGAACAAGCCTGTGGCTGTAGACGATCAGGTACCTCGACCCCCTACACTCATGGTGTTAAGGTCTATCTTGTAGGTTTACTTGATGACTCCGGAAAGACAACTCCAGCACTATGAGAATGATAGTTAGGAACTATTACCATTAGGAGATGGAAGAATGAAAGATGTGTTTTGAAAAGTTGAATGGAGACCTAATTTTGAAGTTGATTTCTTTACAGTGTATGCACGTGGCTACAGGCCAATGTAAACTCTTTTCATTTCAAGCCTCTGTTATTTTCCAAGCCACCATTTTAATGTTCATCCGTTTAATCAAACATCTTTAACATTGTGGAGTTCTCAAACAGTTACCCTAGAAATTGATGCTGTTTGCATGTCATGGTTTTAGAACTCTGACCTTCCCGACTTCCACTTCAGCAAGGCACTGTCTTGGTAGACTGGCTGGCCTGGGGCAGCCTTGTGCCTGAAGGTTGCCTCTGGCCTTCTAAAGTTGTTTGTGTGGTCTGGTAAGAAGCAGAGTGACTCTCTCCAGCTCTCACTCTTCCTAAACTCACTGAGAAAGTCACCAATTCTCCAGGAACCTGAGTCACACTTCTGGGCCTAATGTTGTACAGAGAACTTCTGCCAAGCTGTCTCAGTGGATCTCTGCTTTTTCCCCTGCTATGGTCACTTATTACTCTGCACTAATCCAATTTGATCCTTAGACGAGAAGAGTGACAACATACAATGTCGGGACTTGAGCTCCGAGTTCCTTTACCCCGCTGAGCAGCACCAAGCAGGACTGGCAGAGCTCAGAATGAAGCTTAAATGGCACTGAGCTTGTGGGGAGAGTGGGGGTGTAAGAAAATCCTTGAAATTTGGGTTTATCAAATGCCAGAGACTCGAGTAAGTCAGCAGGAAGTCTTAGGGTCCAGCCTTTCAAGCATTCCATCATGCTTTGTCTCCTCATCCCCATCCACGTCTTTTTTCTTAGGATGAGGGTATTTTCAACAACTAAACATCAGAGCGGCACTGTGTTAAGGTCTACTACTCAGACCCTACCTGGGGTCACAGCCGCCTCTCCAGTTAGCAGTGATGCTCGCTGCCAGGCGAATGTCCGTCTTCAGAAAGGAGGATGTGATGAGATGTGTGGGAAGGAGCTACTAGACCAGAGGCCCGTAGAGTGGTCAGATTTTCTTTTCTATACTTCTGTTCAGGAACTCTGGAAGGACGAGCATGCGCAGTATTTTTCCTTTGAAACCCTTTGTGCCACCATTCCTGGGGCAACTGCCTGGAGACAGCTCCCAGAACCAGGAGGAGCTGTCAGTTTGTACTCAGGTGCACATCAGCTTCATGTATCCTAAGGTGCTTAGAGGCTCAGGAAAACTGTCTCATCACAGGAAATTGCTGAGCAATATTTAAGAGGTATCTTAAAAGCAGGGACTTTTCTGATTAACTTTGGTTGAACACAGACACTTTACTTATTGTTGGAGATACTTTGAAAATGTATTTTCTTCTGTGTTGGTAAATATAGTACATTTTAAAAACTTGCTTGATGATTAAAATTATTTTAGCATCTTGGGTCATATTTTTAATCCTTCACAGACTGAGGGTCTGAAGAAAGCAGCCCATAATTCATTTTTTGGAAAAGTCAGTTCCTGGCATTAGGGTGGGTCAGCAGTTAAGATCTGCTCCTTCGGAGAGCTGGAGTTTAGTTCCCAACACTCCAACTGGGTGGCTCACAGCTGCCTGCAGCTCCAGGGGATCAAATGCCCTCTTCTGGACTCCCAGGGCACCACACATACATGTGTACAGACAAACACAAATGAAAAAATTTAAAACCCCAAATTTATGACTTCTGTTTCCAAAAAGTAGAAATTGGAAAAAACTAAGTTGACTCTAAATTTAGTAAGGCTGTGTTTAAGTCAAGAAACACATGATTGGTACATCTTGGCTTAAAAAAAAATTGTAACTGACTGCAATGGATCTGCCTCCCATTATCTCTAAACTAAGCTGTCCGACTGTAATAGTACCAGTTCAGGAAAATAAACTTCTTTCAGAGAGGGTCATTTGTGGGATGGGTAAGTAAATGGAGAATGAGGCCAGGTCTGTCAAGCATTCCTTTATCCAACAGCTCCATGCCTGAGGCCCATTCTCCATTGGACACTTACACACCAAACAACTCCCGAGCCTCTATGACTGTCTGAATGGTGGCAGCACACAAGATGTACAACTGGGCAAGGGGCATACCAAGCTGCCAAAGTCTACAACTCCAGGCAGAGCCAACACTGCCAGCTTTGACCCAAATGACTGGTATTTTCTCACACTTCTGCAGTCTAAGCCCTCCAGAAACTGGGTTGAATCCTGGACTGACATGGAAACTGTCAGGAACCAACTGGGTTACATAACAAGAGGGTTATGAAAACTGTGCAATGTGTTTTCAAATTAGAATATTCTAAACACCATACACCCTTTCTAATCGAAGAGAGTAAAATGTGAAGAGAATTGGGTCTGCATAGAAATCTGTCAGCTTCCAAAGTTTTACCTTACTGGAAAAGCAACTATGAACCTTACAAAGTTTTACCCAGAACATTCTCTTTTTCAGCATTTAGTAAGTAATTCTCATTGGAAAATGCAAGCTGAAGGGGATTTTTGGTAGAGCCTGTAACAATGATGGCCAGGCAGGGTCTCACTGCTCTCAAGCTGATACACAGGAACTCAACTGTAGTGGACAGCAACCTGAGTTGTCTGCAAGGTAGCAAGAGTCCTGTCCTGCTTCCTAGCAACAGCCCAGGCCACAGGTCATCCCTGCTTCTGTTTACTACTGTAGTACGGCCCCAAACAAACCCGACTCTCAGGAAGCTTGAATAGCTTTACTTGCAGTGTGGACAGCATTTATAATAACAAAAGTGTTTACATAATAGCTTACAATTATTTTCCATACAAAATAAACTGACATCATAGTCATCTTCACTTTTTACACTTCTCACCTGTTCCATATACAGTGAGGACTTCCAGATTGTACTCTGGCCAACTCGTCAGAGATGCACATGAATAAACTCACCATGTCATCCTTAACCACTGTGGCTGGGATTTGTTTAGCCATGAAACAGTAATACACTTCAAAACCATGTTTGTTCTCTAGAAATGCTTCTTTTCTTTTCTTGAATTATGGTACATTTAGAATTTTTACATTTTATACACGTCAGAAGGATTTATTTCCACACCTTCACAATCCCGTCTCTAGAAGCAGTCACGATGAAGCCCTGAGTTGTCTGGAAGGTGGCAATATCTGTGATGATGTCATGATGTCCCACAGGAAGAGACTCTGGGCCCCTTCGAGGGGTATCATCACTTGGTCCTACCTTCTGCTTATTCTGAATTTCCTGTTTAGTGGGTAAAAGTCAAAACAAAGGCCTGAGGTTAAACCTGTGCCATGTTGTACCTCTTGACAATATTCCTGTGGCTGGGAAGTTAACACCTGTTTAAAGTCACCATGCAACAGAGTCCAAAGTGACCTTCTAGGTTCCCAGTCATCATCAGAGTGCATGAGTAGCCACTATAAACGGGTCAGCATATTACCAAGGAAAGAATAGAGATATATACTTGATAGTCTAGCATTTTTAAAAACTCCTATGGAACACCTACTCTGGCTAGCACATGTAATATTCTCTAGGTCAATAACACATGCTTTGGAGGTCAATAGCCAGGCTGGGGTCTCAATTTCCTGTTTATTAGCTATGTGATCTGGGACAAAAGACTCCCCTGTTACTAACCTCTTCACCTGTAAAAGGAAAGTAGTATTTCCTAGGCTTTTTTATACTGTGATGAAAGTTCATTTCTGAAGCTGACAGAGTGAGTAATGTGCAGGGTGCACACACCTATACCCCATCACTCCAGGGGAGAAGCAAGGACAGTGAACTGAGCTATGGGCCAGATCCTGCCTCCCTCCCACTCTTCCCACCCACAGAAACAAAACAGAGTCCCGTACCTGGACGACTTCAGTGCCTTCTATTATCTTCCTGTAGTAGGACACAGATGGAGAACTAGTGCTTCCTGCTACAATGTAGGACCTTTCTGGGGAAACCAAGTCCCAGAACCTAGGGGAGAAGGAATAAATGATAGATCTACAGTTAATATTACTGGCTTACACCAAAAGGATTGGTTAATGTATCAGGAAAAGATTTTTCTAGAATCAATAGCATAACATTAATAGCTGTCTGGCAAGGTACTGATGGGCTTAACAGTACACGGCCAATACCTAGAACAACCTCTTTTATAAACCGAAGCATCCTTTCATGTTTTAAACCCGAAGCATTCTCTGAGACACTGCACCTTATTTTCATGTCTGAGCCAGCTGTTAACAGGATAGGATTTCCATCTGCAGGACTGCAGTAGATGCCATGGACACTGTGAGGCGAAGGCTTGAGAGAAACAGACAAGCAGTCAAATAAGACATCAGCGTAGTCCAGAAATGACTATCATTTTTAGTAGAAGTGAATTAACTGTCAACAGCTGTACAGGCACCTCAAGACATCTGACCTGTGAATGGTCTCATCCTTTTCTACTGAGGGAACTTGAGGATCCACCTAACTGCCTGGAAGGGCTGCGGGTGTAGCTCAAGGTGGAGTGCTTTCACAGCACACACACGTGGCCCTAAGTTCAATCCCCAATGTCCCCTCATCCAAAAAAAGACCCTCAGGCTGAGCATGGTGGTGTACACCAGTAGTTCCAGTGCTCTGGGAAGAAAAGGCTAGAGCGTCACCAGCTCAAGGCCAGCCTGGGCTACACACTCAGACCGTCAGACCGTAACTTCAGGACTACTTTGCATAAGACCTAATTAAGTAGGGGTCAAACCTTTCCTACGTTTAGCTTACTTGTCAAGATACTCCTGGCAACATGACCAATAGACAAATCTATCCCAAGCAGCACTCATACAAGGTACAGATGCTCAATACTATCTCTAATCTAGAAAACTGGTTGTTCACCTTTATGACCTGACCAGGAGCTTCAGCTCACTGCCACACCCAGCATCACAAGAGGGCCAGAGCACAGGTCACTCACTAGTCTGGGAATAGATCAAAATTCAGAGTTCATTTCCTAGTGAATGCATATTGCTTTTACACCATCATGTAGAGACAAAAGCCCTGCAGGGGACCCTGCAGACATAAGAAGACTGCATTCATTAGTGGGCTCTGCTTGATTTCTATCTACAGGAGCTCCACTGTGGGATCACAAACATCCAATGGAGCAGACCCAGCAATGGTCACATATGTCTAATTTGTGTTTTTAATAACACGAACTAAGAAACTCATGAGAGAGCATGCTGGCTAAAATGCCTACACATGCTCAGGATGGAGGTGACAGTCAGCACTGGTGACGAACCTGTAATTCGGAAAGTGGTGGCGCACTGCTGGCCCAGAGAGTCAGTCTCCTGTCCCCAGTCTCCATGTCCCACATGGAGACCTCATTGTTGCCCTGAACAGCTGAGAGACAAAGACAAGAACTGTTAGCTCTTCCTTCACATCTTGGGAGCAAACGCAAGGCAGCCTGTTTCTATTTCCATCCTGCAAGAAATAATAAAATCCTTAAAATAACAGCACAACTCACCACCAGACCGGGTGAGTGGAAAAAATTGTTTGTGATAGCCTAACAGCAAATACATATACTGCACTCCACCCAGGGCTGGAATAGACTATGGAATGGAAAGGCAAATCACACAGATTTCCCCTCAAGAATCTACAGCATAAATAAAGGAAAAAGAAAAGGCACATGGAAACAGCATATCATGGGCTGAGGCAAAACACCCACACAGACCCAAAAAGGCCGGACAGATGGAGCAGCAGGTGCCTGTTGAAGGCAGAATGAACTGAGGAGGCAAAAGTTCACGGTGTTTTGATCTAACTGAAGGATATTTGTGACAGAGAGTAGAGGCGGCTAACAGAGTAGAAACCATGGGCCTGACAGAGAATCTGTCCCTTAGGTACTATGCTGGGGGAGTGACCAGGATTCATTATCGATATCTACAGAGCTGGCACTATTCACGGTGAGCATTGTCCTGGGCACTGGGGGAAAGATGGCAAACAGCAGGGAATCCCCATTACAGGGAGTTTCCACTCTAGCGGGAATACTAAACAGAAAGACGCAAAAGGAGCAGAGGGACGGAACCAATCAGCGAGGCAAACTCAAACCCAGGGGGTGACAGGAGAAAGCACAGGAGTGAATGTCTCTGTCTCTCTCTCTCTCTCAAGTTTGGCCTGTATGAATCACACCAGGCTCTTGTACCACCCAGCTTCGACCTGTAGCAGTCTAAAAATAAAATGGCCCCCAAACAGTTTAAAGTCCTACTCCTGAGAACCTGTAAATGTTACCTTGAATGACAAAGTGATTGCAAAGACGGAACTAAGGACCTTGAGAGGGGTGAATTATTCAGGATCATCCAGTGGGCCCTAAATATAACCCCAAGCATGCTTGTAAGAGGGAAGCAGACTCATGACAACAGAATGGGCCTCGGTGCTGTTTCCACTCGGAAGAGGGGACATTAGCCAAACAGTGTAGGAAGAGAAGCAGGAAAAGCAAGCAGTGGAGTCTCACCCAAGCTCCAGTGTGGTCCTGACACACGCTGACTCACAGAACACAGCTCAGACTTCTAACTGCAGAACCAGTGTTAAGTCTGTGTTAAGTCACCAAATGTGAACAGCACTGATAGACAGGAGGGGGAGGGGAAAGATCGCCCACCCTCACTGTATCTAGAATTACGGTTTGGGATGAGGAGACGGCTCAGAGGGTAAAAGCACTTGCTGTTACACCACCTGATGACCCAATTGGTCCCCGAACGCAAGTAAAGAGCCACATGCAGTGGTGCACATCTGTAATCCCAGCATTCGTACAGCCAGATAGTAGATGAAGACAGGAAAATCGCTTAGAACTCTTAAGGCAGCTAGCCTAGAGTAAGTAACTCAGCCAACAGAAACAGGAATGACCCTGCCTCAAAACCATGGAAGGGAGAAGTGACTGGAAAATTGTCCTCTGACCTCCACATGTGCTCAGGTGTATGGGAGCCTGCTCATGCATGCATGCACGCACGCGCGCACACACACACACACACACACACACACACACACACAACCACTATTCCTCTCAAGGTGGCTTTTCTAGTCAACATCTTTGTAAACTCCAGTAACCGGACCCTCATAACAATTCCTGCCACACTCTACCACTAAGCACACGTCTTCTGTGAGGCCTCTCTACCCACACCTGTACACAAGAACCTTTAGAAAGAAGCTTGCCTTGCTGGGATACTGACCGGATGGAAAAGCCCACATAAAGCCATTTGGACCACGGTAGAGTTTGGCTGTTTCTAGATGTATTAGCCTGTTTATCCATTGCTATGACCTGAGCAAAGGGTTTATTCTGGCTCATCTTCTCAGTTCACCATGGCAAGAAGGGGGAGAGAGGCAGAACCGAGTAGCTCGTATCACAGTGGCCAGGGAATAGCTGTGCTGGCTGACTCCCTTCTCTCCCCACTTTTATCCCACTGGATTCCAGAGTGTGGACTGTACATGAGAAAGAAGAGGACAGATGAAAACCCTAGGATGATCAGGAACTACTACCGATCAACTTAGGTGTGCTGCCAGACTGAAGTTTCATCTCCAGTTCTTATGAGGTGTTTTCAACTATACTTTACAGATAAGGAAAATTAATTTCAAAGATCTGTCCAAGTGAGGCTGGAGAATGGCTCTGTAACTAAGAGCACTGGCTGCTTCTCCAGGGACCCAGGTTTGATTCTAGACTCACAAGGCAGCTTACAACTGTCCCTAACTCTAGTCCTTGTAGCAGGAATCTTAAAGGGTCTTATTAATAAAAACAAACCCAGAGCCAGGTATTGGGGTGACTGCTGGAAGATCAGAGAAACAGAACAAGCCACAGCTACCTCACCTCGCCAACTTCTCAGCTGATCCTTTTTCCTCAGGCTGGAAGCCTCTGAGTCCTCAGATGGAATGGATCTCAGCTGAACTGCTGATCAAAAGCCTAAAAGCTTAACAGACTCTAGTTCCTGGTCCTCACACCTTATATACCTTTCTGCTTCCTGCCATCACTTCCTGGGATTAAAGGCGTGTGTCACCATGCCTGGCTGTTTCCAGTGTGGCTTTGAACTCACAGAGATCTGATGGATTTCTGCCTCCCGAGTGCTAGGATTAAAGGTGTGTGTGCCACCATTTTCTGGCCTCTATGTCTATCTAGTGGCTGTTCTGTCCTCTGACCCCAGATAAGTTTATTAGGGTACACAATATATTGGGGGACACAATATATCACCACAAGTCCCTGGTGATATGACACCTTCTTCTGGCCTCCAAGGGCACTGCACACACAGGGCACACAGACAGGCATGCAGGCAACACACCCACACACATTAAAGATAGCTCCGGAACCCACACCAGAGCACTGAGTGATCAGTGATGGAAAGGCAGGGCGCCTGTGAGAAACACAGATGCAGATCAGAAAGAATGGCTGCTGACGAGGAGCCCACAGCTCCTCCTCCTGACAGTTCCAGGAAGAGGCCGGCAGTTTTAACCAACGTAGGGGACATGGGTTTGGAAGAGATGAAAGATGAGAGGGGGTGGAGAAAGGAATGGAGAACGGTGGGTACCAGTTGATGGCACTGGTTCTGAACTTAAAACCTAACGGTGGGCCGCTTCCATATGAACAGAGTCAAGCACTTGGCTCATATGGGAAAGAAAAACTCAAAGAGCAAGGGTTTCGGCAACAACACACAATGTAATTCCCAACCTTGATGTCAGCCTGCATCTTACCTGCGATCACCCAGGACTGGGACAAGGGGTGCATGGAGAGGCGCCGGATGCGAGCTCTGGAGGGATGACAGTGACTGGAAATCGGCAACTGGAACCTCATGTCCCAACACGCCATGGTACCGCTGCTCGTGCCTCAAGTTTAAAAGGCACAAACCATTAAAATCCAAGCAAAGACACGATGCTGCATTTACAACAATGGCCAACAGTGCTGCCTTTGGATGAATACATTTTTAGATTTTTGATTAAGACAGGGTCTCACTATGTCTCCTTAGCTGGCCTGGAACTTGTTATGTAGACCAGGCTGGCCTCAAAATCACAGAAATACACCTGCTTCTACCTCCCTAGTACTAGGAGTAAAGACATGCACAACCATACCCAGACTGGATAAGGCGTTTTAGAACTGCCCTAGTCACTAAGAAAAAGGCTTTGTTGCCAGGCCTGGTGTCACAGACCTATTATAATCTCAGCTATTCTGGAGGCTGAGGCCTGCCTGAGCTACAGAGCAAGTTCAAGACCAGCCCGGGCAACTTGGTGAAACTATGCTTCAAGATAAAAACTGAAAACAGGATTGTGGCCATAGCTCAACAGTATAGCACTTGCCTAGTGTCCATAAGACCCTGGAATCAAGAAAGGGAAGAAAAAAGGCTTTGCTTCCATGAGGCTTTCTCCCCAGCTTCAAACAGCAGCCATGATTGCCAAGTAACAGCCATAAAGTGCTACCATACCGCGATTATAGTACTGTCTGGTGAACGCAAATTCAAAAAGAGTAATTCACTAAATACTGGTGCTGCTATTAACTGCCAAAGGCACCCGCAAAACCAGAAGCTGTGGAGAAGATGAAACTGAATTTGGTGAGCCAGAACATTCAGACTGCCTGAAGAACAGCTCCATCCTCCCTGATCACTTCTAGTGATCACTGCAAAGTCCAAAGTGGCAGCAGTTTTGTGTCATTAGATTTCAATCAGCTCCATGTGTCCTTTGCCCCAAAACATTCTGCAGACAGGACAGGTGTAGGTATCCAACCACCCAACCACCGCAGAAAAATGGGCGAGTGCCCACACAAGCTCCCCATGGCATCCCAAACTCTACTAAGAAGAATGGCCCCTGTGACCAAAGAACAGCGTCTGTCCCAGCACTGAGCAGCTGAGCAGAGTACATTCCTGGGTTGGTCTCCAACTCCACAAGACAGATGGACAGAAGGACAGTGAGTCCCTCCATATCTCTTCACCACACTCCATGACGATGATGACAACAGCCACAGGTGGCATCAGTGCCCTCCCCAAAGCTGCTCAGGTGCCGAAGACACCACTGTCCTTTGGAAACTTGCTGGCTGTGCACTACCTCACCTTCCGCAGTGCTCGGGTGTCATGACGACAGAGTGTAAACTAAGGGATCCAGAAACCTAAACGCAAGTGCAGAGAACCTTGCCTTTTCTGGGTATGAGAGAAAGGAGAAAATGTGGTACCTTCAAGGAGCATATTCAAGGCACCATGCAGGGAGGGACCTGGGCATCTATGTCTATTAGCAGAGTGTTTGCCTAGCATACAAAGTCCTGCTTCCATGCTCAGTACGACATGAGCCAGACACTGTGTTACCCAGCACTTGGGAGAGAGGCAGGAAGATCGAAAGTTCAAGGTCATTGTTAGGTATTGTAGGGATCAGCCTGGATACATTAGGACCCTTCTCAAATACAAAAGAAAATACACAACACCACGGGGAAAATGTGACTTTTGAAAACAGGAAAGGGGGAAGAAGGTGGTGAGAAGCAGTTCTAAGGCCAAGCAGTATAAAGGACTTTAGTGACATACAGAACTGTCACTGTAATTAATGACAATGCATTGTGTATTCTAATTTCTGAAGGTTTTAAATATTTTTACTACAAACTATGTGAGGTGACAGATTTCCTAATTACCTGATTTAATCATTCATCAATATAAACATGTGTCAAAATACCACATTGTATCCCCTAGATACAGTATTATTGCAATTAAAACTAGAATTTGTTCTTAATCAGCAATCCCACTCATGGGTATACACCTTAGAAAAACGAAATTAAAGTTCCTACAAAAACCTACTTCTAAATGTTTACAGCAAATTTAACTCAGAAAAGCCCCAAACTAGAAACAATTCAATCATCCAACTGGAGCATGGGTGGTCAATACACAAATTATCTATAAATAAAATGAAAAACAATTTAAAACTCCTCATACATGAAAACAATGGAAAGCCTTACAAACTTTGTTTAGTGAAAAAAAAATAGCATGCACACTGTAGGATTCTGTTTCTGTGCCCTTCTGGAAAGGGCATGAAACCGTGGGGACAGACACTGGATAAGAGGTTCTAAACAATGATGATGATGACAATGGGGGGGGGGAAGGGGCCTCACTCAGTGCTGCTGGGGTACAAACTGCTACAGCCACTCTGCAAGTCAGTGTGGGGCTCCTCAAAAGGCTAGAGACACATCTACCATGTGATTCAGCTATGCTGATCTTGGGCAAATGCCCAAAGGACTCCATGCCATCCTATAGAGACACCTGCTAATTAATCCATGGTCATTACCGCTCTATTCACAACAGTTAGGAAACAGCTCTGATGTCCATGAACTATTGGAGGGACACTGACTGTGGTACCTATACACAATGAAATTGTACTCAGCTGTAAAGAAAACTGAAATTAGGAAATCTGAAGGTGAAGGGATGGAACTAGAAACATCGTACTTAAGTAAGAGAGATCCAAAAAGACAAACAGCGCATGTTCTCACTCTTCCAGAGCCTAGCATCAGATCTTAGAACTGCGCTACACTTGGAGCACCTTTAAATCCAGGACACTAGAAAGGGGCCATGAGGTGGGGAGGGACATCTTGAGAGAGGGAAGGCAGCAGAAGACAGGTGATGTGACAGGGAAAGAGGAATGGGTGGGTAAAGAAAGGAAAGGTGGGGTGGGGACAACACACTGAGAACCTTCAGCAAGCCATGTGGAACCTGAACGTTACAGGCTCCCGAAGCATACGCTCAAACGAGTGCTTAGTTGGAGCTGTCCTACACAGGGACAGTGCTCCCCACAGAAGCCACAGCCAGCAAGACCGTAAGCAGTCATGGAGGACCAGGGTAACACAGTGTCATGAACTCACATAGCTGTGGAAGCCTACACAGAGAAGCCAGTCAACAGTCCATCGTGGAAGCGGGGCAGTGTGGGGAGGGGCAGGCGCTCATAATGCCTACCCCTACCTGAGAAGACAGGGACAGCTGATGGCGCTTTAACCATGTTGCCTCAGGGTACCCAAGCTCCAGTGGATGCCCTCTACCCAGGCATGTGGGCAGGACAATGGGACTCGGCAGTTCTTGTTTTTTTTAAGGAGCATGAATTTGGGAAGGGGTGTGGGAGTGCACAGGGAGAAGTGAGAAGTGAGTATGTCCAAAATACAATGTATACATGTATGAAATTATCAAAGAGTAAACAATATATGTTGTTTTAATAATTTTAAAAACTGGTTAAAGGCTATTTTCAGAAGAATCATTTGTATTCTGTTTGTGGTAAAGGTCACACTAGAGTATGTAATTTCAGAACTTAGAAACACTTCAAAAACAAACAAAAGATAGATGAAAGATAGTACGCATCTTCAGTCTTTAGGGCAAAGGGAGTGGAAGATGGGAAAACAGAAATCCATTGTTCTGCTTTTCCACTAGCCCTGTGATAGATGCTTCCGCTCACTAAATCTTCAAAGCAGCCTTGGAAGGAATTAGTCCCATTAGAAGATGAAGATGCTGCGACTCAGAGTTAAGTAGCCTGCCTGAGGTCACAGGAATTTAAAAGTGTTGGCTCAAACTCAAATGCTGTTTTCCTTAAGTTGGAGCTTCTCCAACAGCCCAGAGAACTCCAACAATTCTTAATTGCTGTGAGTCTAAGACAAATGTTCGCTGAGAACAAGAAACCATTCTCTGTTTTATTATGCTAATTTCATCCTTTCACACAATGCTTTGCTTGTGGGTTTTTTTTGTTTTTTTTTTTTTTTGAAATATACTTTCATGTAACCCAAGTTGGCCTTGAACTCACTATGTAGCTGAGGTGCCACTGGCCAACCACCGTGACTGCAAGGGTGCACTACCATACCCTGCTCAACTATACCCTTTATTCTACTTTATGTGTGATGCTAGAGAGTATGGCCAGGGCCTTAGGCATATTAGGCAAGTATTCGCACTGAGCTACTTCCAGCCTCATATAAGCCTAATAAAAGATAAACTGTAAGATATTCTATGACACAGTAGTTATGAAAACAAAGGGGATAGAAAAATCACCAGTAAAGACAACAGAAAAGCTGGTTTTCCCAGGATGCTACCTGCAGGTGTTGGTGGCATCCCAACACAACGGTCGGCTTACCTATGCAGAGCCAGCACTGGTGGATGTCCACAGCAAAGGAAGTGATGAGACCTGACTTTAAGTCATGCTTTAATGTCCATGCATTGCTTGAAGACCTGAGGTCCCAGCCAACCAGAGACCCATTCACCGTGGCATAGGCAAGAACAGACTGTGCCCCAGAGTTGAAGTGATGCATGTCCACCACGCATCCATCTTCCTTCTGATCCAGAATCCTACAGAAACACAGAAGTAAATACACAAGTTTTTCCAGACACTGAAAATGGAGCACTGGTTTCCACTTGAGATAAACTACCAGCTTATCCATGGCCAAAAAGGAAAAACTGGCCAGTTGGAGCAGCACACCCTTTAATCCCAGCGCTTGAGAGGCAGAAGAAGAGGCAGAGAAAGTATGATTTCTGTGAGTCTGGGGTTGACCTGATCTACATAATCAAGTTCCAGGACAGCCAGAGCTGAGACCCTGTCTAAAAAGATAAAAAATAAAAATAAAAATTATGTGACCTCAATGAGACAATTACAGTTGACTATTTTTAAAGATAATTTCAGACTCAGAAGAGTGTAAAAAGTTTCTGAACATTTTTACTGTTTCTCCTCACATTGCCAACTTCTATAACTAGAGCATCTACCAAAACTAAGAAACCAACCTTTTTTAACACTAATAAAATCAGCTCTTTGTGTGAAATACAAGGATTATTACAAATAGATAGATGGCTATGCATCTTCCCCGGCATTACCACACAGAACCGTCCGGCACCCTCTACAGTGTCCTGTGCAGTCCGTTTGCATCTAACTCCATCCATCCTCTCAACTCATCGCAAAAATCAATTTTGTTCCTTCCCAGAATGTCATATAATTGGAAACATGGGACAGATAGCCTTTTGAATCTGACATTTTTCATTAAAAAACTTATTTCACATTCGTCAGTGCTGATGCCGTGAGCTAATAGTTCTTCATATTGCAGAATTCTATTCTATTGCATGGCTATGCCAGATTGGTTTTCGGGGTTTGTTTGTTTGTTTGTTTGTTTTCAAGGTGAGGTGCTTCTAAATCTAAAAAGAATGTCACAGGGCTGAGGTGTAGCTCAGCAGTCGAGCGCTTGCCTAGCATACATGAGAACTTGTGGTTGGGCCCAGCATCACAGACAAGGAAGAGGAGGGGGAAAGAACGGGAAGGGAAAAGGACAGGATTATAAAAAGTCAGTTGGTAAGTTATTTTAGTCTTGAGTCACATAGCTGACCTCTTCTCAGATAAACATTTATAGATATTCGACTTCTGACTATACTTCCAAACAGAAGGGTGATTTTAAAATATCAAAACATTAAGTCAGCTATTAAATGGTTTGTTCCATAGTATTCTTTTTTTTTAATTGTTGTGTGAGTGTGTGTGCACACACACGTGCACAGTGCCCTCAGAAGCCAGATGAGGGCATCAGATCTCCTGGAATTGGAGGTACAGGCAGTTATGAGTGGCTTGACATGCTGGGATGTCAACTGAACATGGATCCTCTGTAATTAACTGATGAGCCATCCCTCCAGGCCAGATTCTAAAGCTTAAGAAGCATGATCACAGTTAACAGGGCTGAACGCTACCAACGGATGAGTAACTTAGGGCCAGGTTACTTTGGAGCACACTAGAGTCAGGTACAGTAAAATCTAAACAATCCAGCAGGGTCTCCCAACCTAGGCAGCAAACATTTGCTTAAACGTAGTGTATACAGTGCAAAGCTGTCAGGTGAGAGAAACATGCGGAGTGTGTGTCCCCTTTTACTGTCTGTCTGTGTGTCCTAGGCACAATCATCACACAGTACACTCTGCCAATAATTTAAATGAACTCAGTAAGTATAAAGAGTCATTCTCTGCAGAAACAACTTTAAGGAAAACTGGCAGCAACTTGCTGTTAGAAGCCATCAATATGTGCTGGGCTAAAGCCACTCAAATATATTTAGTGATTATCCTGAAAATACACACTTTATAAATGTAAAAGCAAAGCAAGACACACCAACAAAGATATCCTAAGTGCCCCAACAGACATTCCTTTTTACCTTAAGCTACACAAGGATCTCAAGGCAGCATTTTATGAAATTCAAGTCTTATTCTACTTTTTCTGGGGGGTGCACGACCTCTTCCCAGCATGCCCTTCTCAACTGCCCTGCTTACCAGACTCACTTGCTTGTAGTTGCACCTTTCAGTGTCTGTGTGCATGCATGCACGCACTTGTTTGCACATATGTGTGTGAGCACATGAGAACATAGTGTGCATTTATGGGTCAGAAGACAATGTTGACTGCTAGTTCTCAGGCACCCGCCACATTCTGTTTGAGACAGGATCTCTCATGGGCCTGGAACTTTGGTACATAGGCAGTTTAGCTGGCCTGCAAGCTTCCAGGGATCCTCCTGTCCCCTCCATCTCCCAGTACTAGGGTTACAGGCATGCACTACTTTGTATTTGGGTTCTAAAGATCTGAACGTAGGTCCCCTCATGCCTGCACGGGACTTTATTAATGGAGCCATTTCTCCAGTCTTTGTCCACTGCAACTTGATGCGTGCCTTTCAGGTGGGACATTTCCACACTGTGTTCACATTGTCTGGGAACTTGTCTTTACCTCCCAGCAGACTACAGATTCTCAGAGAACACAATGGAGGACTGGTACGACGGCTTAGTATAATAAATAATATAGTATAATAAATAACTTGCCACCCAAGCCTGACAACCTGAGTCTGATTTCCAGGACCCATAGCAGAAGGAAGAACTGACTCCTCAAAGCTGTCCTCTGACCGCTACAAATTCCCTGTGGAACCCCATGCACTCACAGATACCATAATCTTTTTTAACAAAAGAGGGAAAAAACACAATGTATCTATTTATATCTGGAATCCTTAGTGCATAACAATGGTCAGGAAAAAAAATGCCTGTCTTTAACTTATTTTACATAAAGTTTAATCTTTAACTATTAATTTACAAAGATGAGATTCGTAAACAAAATCAATCAACATTTTATTTTAGAACAATAAGCAAATTTTTGTCTGAAAGATATTATCAAATTTAGACATTTTAGTGCCAAGCAAAAGAACATGAGTTTTCTTAAATGATGAACACTCACTGTGCTCTGATAGTTAGACAATCTGGCTAATACCTGTGTCATTTAGGAAGATTCCAGACTAAGATGATCGAGTCCAGGCTGCCCCTGTGTGTGCACTTCTAACAAAGTGCAGAAATAAGAAGCCAAGGCTCTGCCCTCTAAAGCTAAGCACACGAGCGTTCTGGGTGGGTCAGAAGCAGTTTCCTGCCCTTCGGGCTTACAAGGATTGTAAATAGAGGAGTACCTATTGGTCCACAACACTCTGCAGTGAGGGGAGGTGGGAGTTACCACACAGTACACTTACATGCAAGGTTAAAAAGACATCGGACAGTACCTGCTTTGTAGAGGGTGGATTTTAGGAGACTTGGGTAACTTAGAAGCCTCAATTCCAAGAAGCTGGACAGCACCATTATCGGACGCTATGGCCAAGTAGTGAGAACCTTGGCAAAATGTTAGTGTCTTGACTCGCCCTCCAATTCGGCTGTATGTAAGAATAGACCTGAATGAAAGAAATAGAAGACCATTTCTGAAACAGCCACAGCCATTATTGCTAACATTAATTGACATGGTTATTAACAAGGTTGTTACTCTGAGGTCCATTTTATCCTTATGTTCTCTAAGAGTCAATGCACAGACCTCCTTTTTTTTTCAAATGTCCATCTTCAAGCACTCCTGTCCTACTACAGAGACTGCCCCTGCCCCACAAGTTCCAAACCAATTCTCCAACTTGTACAACACTTTAAATCCCATATCCTTCAGCTCTTCTATAGCTCTGAACATGCAGACTGTCACAGTTGGGAAAGCTCTAACTTCAGAAGCAAAATTCTGTT